AAACACATAGAAAAACAACTTTTATTCTTTACGTTTTTCTCAAAAATCATTCTAACAGCATCAAATAAATCTCACAAGATTCGGGCAGATTCTTCTCTCAAAATTCCAGCAGAATGCATTTCGAAACAACCCTCACTATAATTGGTATAACTCTAATGTATAGGTCCAAATATTATAAAATTTTATACAGGCATATTAAACACATAGATGAACAACTTTCATTCTTTAAGGTTGACCCAAAAATTACTCTAAAGTTCTCAAATAATTTACACAAAACTCGGGCAGAATATAGTCCTTAAAACACCGATTTTGCATATTTGATTTCTTTAATAATTAAACCATTAATCTTAAGCACAATAACTTTAATTTAACATAAATCACATATTTCAAGCATTAATTTCTCATGATGAAATGAGAATTATACTTACTCTTAATATACATATATATAGAATTATTCTAATACACGTCACATTATGGATAAAGGTTTTTACGGGGGTTACAAAAACCCCTCGCATGGCCTACTTAAATTGACACACAATTGGGTTAATTTTCTCCTTAAACTGTATCTTTTAGCTACTGCCCGTGTGGCATTTCTTTCTTCTTTGAACAAATTTTATAGTGACACATGGCCATGTCACTCAAATCGTCTAAATTATTTACGTCCGTGTGGCTTTCTTTTCCTTCTTGGATTGAAATTTTATTAGCTAGGCATGGACGTGTCTAATTTGTTGCACAAAGCTGTGTTAAATTCTTTCTACCCATATCTCTCATCTTGTTAAATATACACATAAGTGTGTTAATTTTTCAAAGCAAATCGTGTCGACCTTTTAGAATTTTTTTAAACAAACCGTGTTGACCTTTCTATCTAGTGTCTCCCCTTTTTGACAATAAACGTATGGGCATGTTAATTCTTCAAACAAACCTTACTTGAAACCTTATGCCCATGTCTTTCTTTGTGCTAGAACACACACAAACGTGTCACCTTCTTGTAGAAGCCGTGTCTATCTCCTTACGCCGAGTGTGACTTTTTGAGCTAAATCACTCATAGATGTGTCAATTTGTTCTTCAAGTCATGTGTATCCCCTTTTGCTTGTGTGTTTCGTTTTTCAATTTGATTTTCTTTCATGGTTACTTTTATTTGTTCTTCGTGCTCTTAAATTCGCTTGTGCCTTGACTTGAGCTTACTCATGTCGAATGCTATTTCCTTCTTGTAAACCTAAAATTTTTATATTATTTTAAGTATAAGCAAGTCTAATGAAAGAGGAAGTAAAGATTATATGAATTTACGTATTGATTGATTGCCTTTTTAAAATGTGTTAAATTCATATTTTGTCTCGTATAGCTTACTATGGTGAGGACTAGGTTAGGTGATCATGGAGGAGGTGTTAAGGTTGAGGCATTATCCAAACCCTCACGATCTCATGGTAGGTCTAATGTTAGAGAAGAAAAGGACCTTGATATGATGATGTCAACTAACATCATGGCTAAATTTCGTGCTATATATAGCACATCGTAGAGATGATGGCTAAGAAAATTCGGTAAACTTTTCGGACTATGATAGGATTGATATATTCAAATCAAGGATTGGGTGAAGTAGGTACTTCTATAGTCGGCACTCGATCAAGATTAGTGGGGTTTGACCTTTATGTGGTAGAGTTTTTAAAGTTAAAGCCACCAACCAATTCGGATGATAGGGATGATGAGGACACAATGCATTTTGTTGATGAGATATAGAAGAGACTAGTAGTGCTTCGAAGTCCCGAGAGAAGAAAGGTTCAACTAGTAGTACTCATGTTTAAGAAAAGTGTCAATGAATGGTGTAAACCGGATAGGAAATATGATTGGTCTTAAGGACGGTTTAAGAAAGTTTTCCTAGAGGAGCAATTACTCGAAAGTATTAGGAAAGAAAGAGCCAAGAAATTTGAAAGGTTAGTGCAAACTTCTAACATAACAATGCCGAAATATGAGAGGAGGTTTGTCAAGCTAAGTCAATATGCCCCATAAATAATACCGATCGACAGTAAAGGGTGAAATGGTTTGTGAATGAGTCGGTAGATCCACTTTTTATAACGATGATTTTTCAAAGTTATTCAAAAGCCATTGATTATGCTCGAAAGCTCGAAATGAGAAGGATGGAGAGTAGAGTAATGGAAGAGTAAAAGAAGAAGGCTAAGAGTGATGGGCATAAAGGTCGTAGCAGATGGGTCTAGTCGAGATATGAGTATGTAGAGCTATTCTAGCCCTTAAAAGAGATATTACGGACAAAGTAGTCATGGTGAATAAAAAATGAGCATGAATTAGGGATCATCTCACTCGATCCATCGGGGTTCCGAAAGAGGATATTCGGTTTGTCAAATGTGTGGCAAGACCTATCTAGATATATGTTCTAGGGAGACATGAGCATGCTTCTTTTGTCATCAACCGGATCATTTGATATGGGATTGCTCTAGATACAAGATGGCATAAGCTCGCCGCTTCGAGAGGGGTACGAGCTCCTCCTATGGTCAATCCACCCCTAAGTCGGTATGGAGGTAGATTTGGTAGCCGGTCCAGCGGAGCGTTCGGTGGTAAGCACAACAAGGTTGAGGACAAGCTAGTAGAGGTCATGAAGGTTTAGGAGGTCAAGGTCGGATAAGTATCGTGGTGGTCATAGAGGTGTAGTGCTAGCTTGTGTATCGGCTAACATGTGAAAACCTAGTCACCGAGGGCGTGATCTTTAGTTGTTTACACCTAATGATAAGGCATTACCTCACGGGTGTATAAAAACCTATATATGTGATTTTGTATGGCTATGATATATATACGTACGAATGATTCGATGATTTGATACGAAATGGTTTTGAACCATTTAAATGGTGATATACGATTTGATTTTCGATATGCATGTGTTTAAAGAAACTAGCATGGCATGTTGAGTTGAATTTCAAATTTCAGCTTTAGTCCGTTTCCCTCCTTTAATATGTTAGATAATATCTACTCATCGAGTTGTTGATTGCTCACTCTTCATTATTTTAGTCTTGCAAGATATTGAGAGATTACTCATTGCTTTCTTTTGGCTACTTGATTCGAAGTTGGCACTTTGATCGTGTGACTTACTTTAATTGTAATTTTCTAGAACCTATGTTTGTTTTAAATTATAATCTTAGATGCTTTCTTTGTTATAGTCGTTTGTATTGTATTAGAAATTAATTATGAATATGGATTGAAAAATCCAATGATGGCATTAAAATTATGATATGTATTGAAATATATAATGTGATGGATATTAATTCAGAATATTATGAGATGAAATAATAGTTGAGTAGTATAAGTATCCGAGGCTTGCTTGGGTCGAGATGGATCTCACATTTCCCTTGATTCTCGCATTGGTCATGACCCACTTTTGGGGTCGTGACAGTTGAGCTTAATAAATCAAACATACAAATAATTATTTCAAATACCAAAAAAAAATTAGCTCGGGAAAACACATTTAAATTTTTTTCCTTTATATGATTTGATAGTTTTTAACAAACTCGGACAAAAGAAAAAAAATTCTAAAATATAGTCATGGTACTTCTCTTAATTATTTTTTTTATATAATTAATGTATTTTAACAAAATCAACATGAAATTATCTAAAGATATAGTAATAGTAATTAATTGTATGAATCTTTAGAATAAAGTTATATTAATATTTTTAGAATTTCAAATTATATGTATTTTCAATAGTTATAAACTAATTGGACCAACAAATTGCCCGACAACACATGGCTAGTTTTTTTTTTTTTTCCATATACACGTGGCCAGCTTAAAAAAACAAAAACAGATCGAATCACTTAGGCCAATAGCTAACGCGGTGCTTATCTATTAATCTTGGGTCTTTGTAGCCCATATAACAAAAGTTGGAATATCTTGTCATCTCAAATGAAAAAGAAAGTTGGAATTTATTGTCACATCATCCTCCCAGAAGAAAGATAGAGTCGGATCAGCCAGTGACTTCAGAACCTTGGAGAGCACAAGCTTTTTGCAAACATGGCAATCAGAACTCTGAAGTTCGCATTTTTGTAGACATCAAGATTGTCTAGCAGTTACTCCTTCCTGATGAGGCCGTGAATCTTTAAAGATTAATTCTTTTTTAACAGAAACGTTTGTGAACGATGGTGGATGGAATGATAGTGGATGAAGCTCTAGCTAAATAGTTTTTTTTTGTTTTAGTGGATTAGAGAATTTTCGGATAACTAAGTGAGTGTACGAAAGACGAAAGAGTCATTGATTGTTTATACAGCTAAAAACATTGAGAGTGATAAATATTCTTACTGTTGACAAATCACAATCGTGAGAACGTGATGGAGTCAGTGGCCTGACAGAATTGATCTTGATAACATGCTCTCATTAAATAGATGTGCTATCAACCTCTTTCATTTGATGGTACTCGATTTAATCATCTAGTTTTTTAATTCGGGATAGAGCTGTTTCGACCGCTCATAGGAGTGTTTTGGCAAAGTCTGATTTTCCATTTATGCTGTGGATGAAGTTCCTTCTTTTTAAACACTCATCAAGACAGATCCGGATATGTCACTTTCTGTTTCGTTTACATCAAGAAGGGTTTATCGATCAACTTCTCCTCCAATCAAACAACAGGTTAATTAATTGCAATCCATGATCTTAATTTTTAACCAATGGTTCTCAAATTAAGAACATCAACAACAGTGACTAAAGGACAGACGATTTATTGTGGTGCTATATAAAATAATTAATTAGAGAGAAGCGTGTTGTCCACAAGTCTGACCCATATAAGTTGATATCATTTTCCTTGGCAGTGTTCAGGCGCATAATGCAATTCTATCACCATCAGAATTTAGCATTTAATCAAGCATGACTAAAAATTTATAATATCCGGTTAAGAACGCATCTACAACTATCCTGTGTTCGTCGACGCGTGGTGACCACAAGCCCAGCTAGGGCATCTATCACCAAAAGCAGTTCTTTCAACATCAGCAGCGCACAAGGGGCATACACTTGCTAAGATATTGCCAATGTGCTACTTGTCACCATTTTTATACTGAAAGGTCCCCGCTTACTGTATCCTGATCTGATGGCTGACAGAGCAGCTCTTGCTCTTTCAGAAGAGTAGATTCCTTTGGTAATTGATTGATCAGACATCTTCCTTTTGTGATGATAGAAACAAGCTAAAAGGATTGAAATCGTAGAGGCAGATGCACCAGTATCCGAGTATATTCTTTTGGAAAGCATAGGAACATCAATGGTCCAGATGTATGCTTTCATAGCTTAGACAGAACTTAGGCCCTTGACTGGCTATATTCAAACACTGTCAATGGCTCTCTCAAAACCTTCCAAGTAACAATCTCTATGTTGCTTCGTGGCGATCAGAAAATGGAGAAATTTACTGGAAAAAGCATCAACAATTATTTTCATGATTGATATTGCCCCCATCAAAAACTAGGGATTAGCCTTAAAAAAAAAACAAAAAAGAAAGAAATTGGATCTAGAGAACAAAAGGCCCATATCCCACATTGGAGGATTATGAGGAGATTGAATACGATAAGAAGAATGACTAGTGGATCAATGTGCGATGAGAAATTCTCATTTTCCTACAAATAAAGAGTTCTCCAGCAAGCGAAAGTGTGCATCAAATTATGCCAAGGAAAAATCATAAAAATTCTAAGCCAGCAGTTTGAGAAGCTTCAAGCCTCCTTCTAGCCTCCTCCATGTGTACATGTTGCCCTTGGGAATAGAAAGCCATGGCTTGGTGCCCTTACAAATGTGTACATGTTGCCTAGGCGAGTGGCAAACTCATCGCTAGTAGCACATCTTGGATGTGGATTGTCTCAAAGCTTCTCTTGTCCTTCTACCTGTTTCTTATCACTCCTACTAGGCCACTGTTCCTTCCACCAGTGAACATGACAACATTTCTCACATGAAACTTGATGAAGTCGACTATTTTGTTGCTCTCTGCGTCTGAATCATAGTTTTCAGTTGAAAAACGATCTTAATCGCAACTTATAACGGTAGTAAAATAACAATCGTGGTAATTAATGTCGTGAATACATTAGCAATCTGTTAATAAATTTATTCTAATTCATATATTTTTAACGAGTTTTACTAATTAAATATACTAATGAGTAATGACATCTCTAATAAGTTAATATTATACAAAAGTAGTTAAATTTATTATAAAAAAATTAATAACACTTATAATAGATTACATAATACAAAAACTAATAAACTAATTATTTAACCTTTTGATTAGTGGTGACCATATTTAATGTAAAATTATTTTATTTCACAAAATTTTTTTTCAATCAATTTTTTCATATATAAATTTATTTATTTATTTTTAAAATAAAAAGGAAAACAAATTTGAAAATAACATAAAATAATAAAAAGTAAATAATTAGTTTTTGAAACAAGAAAGTTCAATTAATTCATTTATCAAAACTAAGAGGACTAATGTGTAATTTACTCCTTATTATTAAACCAAATTTCATTGTGCGCACGGAATCAAAGACCTATAAATTAGTCTTTTTAGTTTGGATAAATAAATTAATTAGTCTTTTTTTTAATTAAATAATTTAACCTTTTGATGAATATTGACCATGTTTAATGAAATATTATTTTCTTCCATAAAATGTTTTTTTTTCCATTAATATTTTTATTATATAAATTTATTTTTTTATTTTTTTTGAAATAAAAAGAAAAAAATAAAAAATAACATAAAATGGACTAAATAATTGTTATTTGAAACAAGAAGGACTAACTAAATTATTTTTTCAAACTAAAGAGACTAATTTATACTTTGTTCAACTAAAGCCTACACACCTCTTGCATTTGCATATATTTCCATTTCACATCCTCTTTTTCTCCCCCTCTCACTCCTTTTCTTTTTATCTATGCTCTACATCGTTCTTTTTTTCATCTTTGTCTCTTTATTGTCTTAATCATCCCTTGCTTCACATCTTTCTTTTTTTGTCTCTCTCTCTCTCTACTCTTTTACTCCTCAATTCACATCCTTCTTTCTTCGTTTCTCTATCTCTCAATTCTCATCTTCTTTTATTAGCCTCTTCTCTTTGATTATATACCAAGTTTTTCTATAAGTCCCATTTATTCTTTTTTCTTGTATTATTTTCATATCGAAGGAAAGAATCCAAGGAGAAGAGCTAGTGATGGCTTATTGTCCTTTATCTCTACGTCGAACCTTAGGGTTACTTCACTATCTTTCCATCTTCATTGATCGAAGTAGCTGGACAAAGAACAAAAGAGGGGAACAATCTCAACAATGGGGAGAAGACTTGCAAATTAATATAAAGATCGAAAGATTTCTAACCTCACGGACGGGGGATATAAATTCTTCTAGGGTGTTCTCTGCAATAGAATTAGAAGTGGAAGCATTCTAGAATATAAAATCTTTTGCATCTTCATTTGGGTTTATGATTAATCGGGGTAGAGTTTTGATTTATTTTTTTTTGTTATGTATAACTTCGTTATATAACGATAAATAACGATGTTATATAATAATAACATCGTTATTTATCGTTATTTTTATGAAATGACGTTAGAGTGCAAATAACGTCGAATAATGGTAATGAGATACCCCGTTATCGTTATATAACGTAACAATTGCTATTTAAAAATATGGTACTGGATAGCAAATGGCGTGCCCATCATAGGTGTTTAAGTAAGGGATGCCTTTACGCCCAAACCAAACAAATCGAACTATGTAAAGCTCAAATTGTGATTAAACAATAAATGAAATCAATTAAGTAAAACAATATCACTTAAACACATGGAAATACGACTCATTTTTTCTATTAGATTAGTGCATGGGCAAAAAAAATATGTATCACAAATTGAAAACGGATAGCCAAAGTAGGAAAACCATTACCTTATCATCTATAAGGGAGTGAAACCTCCGCCTAACATACCCTTAATATCATAGAGGAGATGTAAGTTCTCATTTGTCTCATGGATGGACATAACATCTTTGAACGAGAGAGCAAGACAGAGTGAACCATCCAATTTAAGGTCACGTATTTGAGGGAGTACAATGCAAAGAGAAAGGCAATCCAAGATACGAGAGGATAAAAAAAGGCCCTCGTAGCTTATTATCACACATAATGATTAAAAAATAATAAGCATTTCCTGCTATACCCATTGAAAGATGTGACTCATCTATTATTTTTTAACCAAGGAAGTTGGTGACGAAACTTCTCATCCATTCCCAACCAACCCTAAAATGAAAATGAAGACTTCTAATCCTATTTACAAGATCAAAATAGAAACTAATTCTTAAAAAACCTATAGGAGTAAAGACATAATGAGCATACCCATGAAACCAAAAGGATATGTTTTATTTGTACTGACCTTCCCATCAACAAGGACGTGTTACAACATCAAAATAGCAAAGACTTCACAGTTTGTGCGAGCATACTTCAAGCATGTTTCACTAAATTAGCATTCCCTTAATTTATAAGGACTAGGTGATGGCTTAGGTGCTTGCAATGCAAAATAAATCAAATTACACTCAATGGGTTGCACCACACAAACAACTAACTACGAGTATAAATTAACATTTTAGCAAAGGCTTAAGCATAGGTAATATACAAAGGCACCAATGAGTTTTTCAAGCATCTAATATTTTGAGGCATTGAGCACTGTTCAAATGCTTCTTTAACCCTCCGATCCATAATGCACCACCAAGTACTGGTAAAAAAACCTAGAACTCGTAAATGGCTTTAAATGTGTAAAATAATTAATTACATAGAAATGGCAACATAAAAAACAAACAAAAAAAAATTCTTGAGACTAAATTCAATAAAAAAAATAATTAAAAGCATAGAAAAGCATTAAAATTTTGTTTAACCCATTTGCAAGCCCATCAAAATGCATATTGAGAACCCATGTTGCAGTGCACATTGGGAATTGACTTTGATTGACTTTTTTGACATGTTGGAATAATAAGAGGGAAGATTTTACTTGATTTGCTTGATAAGTGAAATAATAAGAAGAGGACATGGCATCTATGACGTGGTTTTGATTCATGACATGACAAACGAGTTTAGGATTAGTTCATCAATAATGAGAAACAACTAGCTAAAGTCGTTAGAAGTTGTTAGAGGTCGAGTGAGGGAGTTAGTTAAGGTTGGTTAGAGAGTTAGTTAATAGATTGTTAGTCGAGAGGGAATAAGTATATAGGGAAATGAGTTCCATTGTAATAGACGAGCAAAATCATTATATTTTTCTCTTCGAATTTCCCTCTAGCTTTTCTCTTTGTTCTTCTTCTCATCTATCATTCTTTTAGAGTTGTTAATTCTTCATAAAATTTATGTATTTTGATTTTAATTATTACGATTCATCGTAATTCATTTTTCATTCAATAAAGCTGATTTCCTTTCGATTACTTGTAATACTTTCAATTGTTCTTGTTACTTGAATTTGAGATTGTATCAATTGGTATCGGAGCGGATTCTAGCACCTATGGATTCCGGAAAAGTTATCAACTATGGCGAAGGGAAATGCTGATTTCAAAAAGATGGAGGAATCCATTGCCATGCTCACTAAGGTAATAATTGATCTTACATTGCGATGTAATTTAATTTTGCACAACATGATCAAGATATTGGGGAATTGAAGGAATTAGTTACCGCACTTAAAGTTCGAGTACGGGAGAAAGAACATTATAATATGGAGGAGGAAATAAGAAGTTTAAATGATAAGGGATATAGAATGCCTAGGTATGGGTGTCCAATGAATGGATTAAATACTAGAATCATGAATAACAATGGTGTATGAGAGAGTACTCGGTTATTCCTTTAATACTTGGATGACTAGAATTGAATTTTTAAGGTTTTCCGGGAAAGACTTTGAAGGATGGACTTTGAGGTGTGAAAAGTTTTTTATAATTGATAGAACTATTAAAGAAGCTAAGGTTGATTTAGTTGTCATACATTTAGAAAAAGAGGCTCTTGAGTGGCATCAAGTCTTCATAAGAATGAATAAAGTCAATTATGTTATGAGGTGGGAGGATTATGTTGAAGCTATGAGTGTTCGTTTTGGTGTTATGATTTTCAATGATCTTATGGCAAAGCCGATGAAAATTAGACAAAGTAGTGATGTCCAAACCTTCCTCAAGAAATTTATTTATCGTTGTTAATAGGTTAGTTCTACCCGAGGACTATATCATTAACTACTTTATTGGTGGCTTAAGACTCGAGTTACAAGTTCCGAGTTAAAGTCATGAGACCTACGACTCTTAAAGAGGTAGTAGCCATAGCTTAACTGCAAGAAACCAATCCTAAAGTTCAACAACATTCCAACAAATTCAACTATCGTACCCCTCGAAACCAAACATCATTCCCGCTTTCAACCCAATATTGAACAATAACAATACTTATAAACCTATAAATTTCTTAAACTAGAATTTACCTATATCATATAACCACAATACTATCGGTAACCAAAAGGGCTTATTGTCATTACTAAATCAATTTCAGAATGGTAACTTAGTGTTTAGAACCGGAAGACTACCTAGTAACAAGGAATTGCATGAAAAGAGGTTAAGGAGATAATGTTACTTTTATGAGGAGAAATATACACCGGACACAAGTGTAAAGGGAGACAGTATTCATGTTAGAGGTGGAAGAAGTTGGAAGGGAGGGTGAGGATCTTGAAGTAGTAGAAGATGAGTTAGCGGGGGAATATGCAAGATAGGGTAAGATACAGTGAGGAATTATATTAGATATTAATGTTTGTAGTTTTTAATGGAGAAAATTATCAAACCATAAAAATGGTAGGGAAGTTACAGAGTAAATGAATGAACATTCGATAGACACTAAGCAGTACACACAACTTTGTGGATATGAAATTTACAAAGTTGAAAAAATATGAATTGGTTAGAATTGCACCAATCATGGTGAGGGGTAGGCGATAGTGGTGATCTAGTGTGTGAATATATATGTGAGAAGTTCAAATAGAAAATGTAAGGGGAAACTTTTGAAACAACAATTTTTATGATGCATTTAGTTCTATACGAGATGATTTTGGGAGTAGCATGGTTATATGCTTTAGGAGATATTACATAGAATTTTAAACAAATGTGGATGAAATTTAAACTTGCTGAGAAGTGGGTTGTGTTACGGGAAAAAGGTGTTAACGAGTAGCAAAAGTCATGAGGAGGAGGAAGTTGACAATGTTATTTGTAGATAAAAATCTCTTAACTCGGATTCGAGTTAAGCTCATTAATGGAAATTGAAGATATGAAAGTTGAAAATTATGGAATAGAAGCAAAAAAACAAGTTCCACTCGGAGTTAACAAGCGTATTGGACGATTTGAAGATGTGTTTGCGGAACTTAAGGCATTACCTCCACAAAGAATGCATGATCACGGAATTACATTTAAGAAGGAGGCTAGATCTATGAGTATGAAGCTGTATAGGTATCATTCCATTTAGAAAAAATGAGATAGAACAACAAGTTAAGGAAATGCTAGAGAATAGAATAATTCGAAGTAGCAATAATCCTTTCTCTTCTTACGTGAAGTTAGTAAAAAAGGATGGCACATAGAGAATGTGTATGGATTATAGGAGGTCTGAATCAATTGACTATCAAAGATCAATTTTCAATTCCTATAATTAAGGAACTTTTGGATGAATTACAAGAGTCAATCTGTGTTTTCAAAGCTGGATTTGTCGCTAGTTATCACCAAATTCATATGAATGATTTAAACATATTGAAAATAGCTTTTTGAACTCATAACAGGTATTATGAGTACTTAGTTATGTCATTTGATTTAACTAATGCTCCTAGCACCTTCCAATCTTTTATGAATGATGTTTTTCGACCTTTTTTACATAAATTCATTTTTGTGTTTTTTCACGATATTTTAGTTTTTAGCAAAAATTTGCATGATCATGCTTTTCATTTACAAACTAATCTATCCATTTTAAGAGAAAATACCTTGTTTGCCAAAAAATCCAAATACACATTTAGAAGAAGTGTGGAGCAATTAAGGCATTACGTTTCCAAAGAAGGAGTTCAAACCGATCCCAAAAAGATCGAAGTTATGCAACAATGGCCTACATCTAAAACTCTCAAGAAAATTGAGAGGGTTCTTAGTACTTATTGGGTATTATAGGAGATTTGTGAAGAACTATGAAAAGATAGATAAGCCATTGACGATTTATTGAAGAAGGATGCCTTTGTATGGAGTCCATTAGTAGAGGAAACTTTTAATGGGTAGAAAAAAGCTATGATAACAACACATGTACTAGGATTACCACGGATGGGAGAGGAATTTATGATAGAGATAAATGTTTTTGGTATAGGTATAGGGGTTGTACTGGTGCAAAAGGGTCACCCGATTGCCTACATTAGTAAGAGTTTATCCTTTAAACATCAACCCTTTTCGGTATATGAAAAGGAATTGATTGCCATTCTATTTGTTCTTAAAACATGGCATCCATACATGGTTGACGAGTCATTTTATCATTAAGATTGATCACAAAGCCTTAAGTACTGTTGGAGCAAAAGTTACATATCGCCAGTCGGTTTAATTGGTTGGTGAAGCTCATGGGATATGATTATGAGATAGTTTATAAGAAGAGGAAGGAAAATTTGGAGGCGGATGCTTTGTCCCGAGTCCAATTATCAACAATGACCATCTCCTCCATAGCTACTTAGATTAATGAATAAGATCAAGCAATCTTGGGATTCGGATCCTGCTTGTAGCAACAATTATAAGTCGACTCGCAATCTTCATAGATGATTCTTTTAAATATAGTTGGCATGATAACCGGTTAAGAAAAAAGGGCAACTTGGTGGTGGGGAAAGATCCGGACTTATATAGAGAGCTAATCTCTTATTTTCATGACTATGCAATATGTGGCCATTCCGGAGTAAAGGTTACGGTACGAAGCTTGCTTTACTCGTACTATCGAAAAGGTTTACACAAAGAGGTTCGAGAGTGCATCGGAACTCGTGGAACATGTCGGACTCGTAAATATGATAATGTAGCTAGTCCGGGTTTGTTGAATCCACTTCCCTTACCTCGGTCTATTTTTATGGATGTTAACATGGATTTCATTGAAGGTTTTCCCCGTCTCAAAGGAAATATGTTATATTAGTTATGGTGGATAGGCTGATAAAATATGCACACTCTATAGCTTTAGTACATCCTTATACTTGCTAGTTATGAGGCTAAAGCATTTATGGAACAAGTTTATAAGCTTCATAGATCGCCATTGAACATTGTCTCGGATAGAGACTTCATCTTCCTTAGCAAATTTTGGAACGAGTTGTTCTCTTATCGGGGGTTACTCTCGAGTTTTCCATTGCTTACCACCTCAAACGGATGGATAAACAAAGGTTGTTAATAGGTGCCTTCAAACTTACTTAAGGTGCATCACTTCCTCTATTTTGAATGCTTGGTGTCGATGGTTGTGTTTGGCTAAGTACTAGTATAACACTTCTTTCTATTTTACCATTAAGCATGTCACTACCCGACGTCGGATGGGACTCCCAAAAAATAAATCTCTATTTCTTTAGTTTAAGATGTATTTTTATTTATAAAATTATTTACGAGTTAGGAGTCACCACCTAGTATTGACGGAACTAGGAACCTAAAATTGGCATGGGTTCGGAGATTCTATGGTAAGGAGTTGGTTACGCTTATGGGAAGATAATTAATCAC